ACATGGCTCAGGGGGACAGGCCTGCCCACACCTGCCACATAGCCAAGGGGTACAGATCCGCCCACACCTGCCACATGGCTGAGGGGGACCGACCCGCACACATCTGCCACATGGCTGAGAGGGACTGACTGGCACACACCTGCCACATAGCTGAGGGGGACAGGCCCGCACACACCTGCCACATAGCTGAGGGGGACCGACCCGCACACACTGCCACATGTCTGAGGGGGACAGGCCCACACACACCTGCCACATGGCTGAAGGGGATTGACCTGCACACACCTGCCACATGGCTGAGGGGGCCAGGCCCGCCCACACCTGCCACATGGCTGAGGGGACCGACTGGCACACACCTGCCACATGGCTGAGGGGACAGGCCGCCCACACCTGCCACATAGCTAAGGGGGACCGACCAAACACACCTGCCACATAGCTGAGAGGGACCGACCAGCACACACCTGCCACATAGCTGAGGGGGACAGGCCCGCACACACCTGCCACATAGCTGAGGGGGACAGGTCCGCACACATCTGCCACATAGCTGAGGGGGACAGGCCCGCCCACACCTGCCACATGGCTGAGGGGACAGGCCTGCCCACACCTGCCACATAGCAAGGGGTACAGATCCGCCCACACCTGCCACATGGCTGAGGGGGACCGACCCGCACACATCTGCCACATGGCTGAGAGGGACGACTGGCACACACCTGCCACATAGCTGAGGGGGACAGGCCCGCACACACCTGCCACATAGCTGAGGGGGACCGACCCGCACACACCTGCCACATGTCTGAGGGGGACAGGCCCACACACACCTGCCACATGGCTGAAGGGGATTGACCTGCACACACCTGCCACATGGCTGAGGGGGCCAGGCCCCCCACACCTGCCACATGGCTCAGGGGGACAGGCCTGCCCACACCTGCCACATAGCTGAGGGGACACAGGCCTGACCACACCTGCCACATGGCTGAGGGGGACCGACTCGCACACACCTGTCACATGGCTGAGGGGGACAGGCCCGCATAACCTGCCACATGGGTGAGGTGGAGAGACCCGCCCACACCTGCCACATGGCTGAGGGGCAAGGCCCGCCCACACCTGCCACATGGCTGAGGGGGCCAGGCCCGCACACACCTGCCACATAGCTGAGGGGGATAGGCCCGCACACACTTGCCACATAGCTGAGGGGGACAGGCCTGCCCACACCTCCACATGTCTAAGGGGGACAGGCCCGCACACACCTGCCACATGGCTGAGAGGGACTGACTGGCACACACCTGCCACATGTCTGAGGGGGACCGACCCGCACACACCTGCCACATGGCTGAGGGGGAGAGACCCGCCACACTGCCACATGGCAGGGGCCAGGCCCGCCCACACCTGCCACATGGCTGAGGGGCTAGACCGCCCACACCTGCCACATAGCTGAGGGGGACAGGCCCGCACACACCTGCCACATGGCTGAAGGGGATAGGCCCGCACACACCTGCCACATAGCTGAGGGGGACCGACCCGCACACACCTGCCACATGTCTGAGGGGGACAGGCCCGCACACACCTGCCACATGGCTGAAGGGGAGTGACCTCCACACACTTGCCACATAGTGAGGGGGATAGGCCTGCCCACACCTGCCACATAGCTGAGGGGGAGAGGCCCGCTCACACCTGCCACATGGCTGAGGGGGACTGACTGGCACACACCTGTCACATAGTTGAGGGGACAGGCCCGCACACACCTGCCACATGGCTGAGGGGGACAGGCCCGCACACACCTGCCACATAGCCGAGGGGTACAGTCCCGCCCACACCAGCCACATAGCTGAGGGGGACAGGCCCGCACACACCTGCCACATAGCTGAGGGAGACAGGCCCGCACACACCTGCCACATAGCTGAGGGGGACCTACCGCACACACCTGCCACATGTCTGAGGGGGACAGGGCCGCACACACCTGCCACATGGTTGAAGGGGATTGACCCGCACACACCTGCCACATAGCTGAGGGGGACCGACCTCACACACACCTGCCACATAGCTGAGGGGGAAAGGCCGCCCATACTTGCCACATGGCTGAGGGGGACAGACCCGCCACACACCTGCACATGGCTGAGGGGGACAGGCCCGCACACACCTGCCACATAGCTGAGGGGGACAGGTCCGCACACACCTGCCACATAGCTGAGGGGGACAGACCCTCACACCTGCCACATGGCTGAGGGGAACAGACCGGCACACACCTGCCACATAGCTGAGGGGGACAGGTCCGCACACACCTGCCACATAGCTGAGGGGGACAGGCCCGCCCACACCTGCCACATGGCTGAGGGGGACAGGCCTGCCCACACCTGCCACATAGCTAAGGGGGACCAACCACACACACCTGCCACATAGCTGAGAGGGACAGACCGGCACACACCTGCCACATAGCTGAGGGGGACAGGCCGGCCACACCTGCCACATGGCTGAGGGGGACAGATCGCCCACACCTGCCACATAGCTGAGGGGACCGACCCAACACACCTGCCACATAGCTGAGAGGGACCGACCGGCACACACCTGCCACATAGCTGAGGGGGACAGGCCCGCACACACCTGCCACATAGCTGAGGGGGACAGGCCCACACACATCTGCCACATAGCTGAGGGGACAGGCCGCCCACACCTGCCACATGGCTGAGAGGGACTGACTGGCACACACGTCTCACATAGTTGAGGGAGACAGGCCCGCACACACCTGCCACATGGCTGAAGGGGATTGACCTGCACACACCTGCCACATGGCTGAGGGGGCCAGGCCCGCCCACACCTGCCACATGGCTGAGGCGGACCGACCTGCACACACCTGCCACATGGGGAGGGGAGAGACCCGCCCACATCTGCCACAAGGCCAGGGGCCAGGCCCGCCCACACCTGCCACATGGCTGAGGAGGCCAGGCCCGCCCACACCTGCCACATAGCTGAGGGGGACAGGCCCGCACACACCTGCCACATAGCTGAGGGGGACCGACCCGCACACACCTGCCACATGTCTGAGCGGGACAGGCCCGCACACACCCGCCACATGGCTGAAGGGGATTGACTCCCACACACTTGCCACATAGTTGAGGGGGAGAGGCCTGCCCACACCTGCCACATAGCTGAGGGGGAGAGGCCCGCCCACACCTGCCACATGGATGAGGGGGCCTGACTGGCACACACCTGTCACATAGTTGAGGGGTCAGGCCCGCACACACCTGCCATATGGCTGAGGGGTACAGTCCCGCCCACACCAGCCACATAGCTGAGGGGGACAGGCCCGCTCACACCTGCCACATGGCTGAGGGGGACAGGCCCGCACACACCTGCCACATAGCTGAGGGGGACAGGCCCGCACACAGCTGCCACATGGCTGAGGGGGACAGGCCCGCCCACAGCTGCCACATAGCTGAGGGGGACAGGCCCGGCACACACGTGCCACATAGCTGAGGGGGACAGGCCCACCCACAGCTACCACATGGCTCCGGGGGATAGGCCCGCCCACACCTGCCACATAGCTGAGAGGGACCGCCTGGCACACACCTGCCACATAGCTGAGGGGGACAGGCCTGCACACATCTGCTACATGGCTGAGAGGGACTGACTGGCACGCACCTGCCACAGTTGAGGGGGACAGGCCCGCACACACCTGCCAGATAGCTGAGGGACAATGCAGACTGTGGGAAAATCAAGGTGGTGCGAATGATGCAAAGGAGGCAGAGGAACAGTCGTGAAGGCGGGACAAGGTGGTGGCTGCGGCTCTGTGCTGGGGCTGTCGGGATTAGCCTGGCTCGCCCCTTGGCCACATGGGAGGTGTGGGTCGGACGCCGGGAGGCCGAGGGAGACCCGCCTGCAGCGCGGGCGCCGCTGGGGCTCAGGACGCGGGCCCGTTCCTCCACGCTGCTGCAGCAGGGCTCCAAGAAAACCGCAGCGGCTGGGCCCTGCCGCTCGGAACCTGCTTCGTTCTACACGTTTACGGTGAGCACGGACATCTGGGCGCTCCTGGCCGACAGCCTCGCGGGCGGAAGAGTCCCGGGGACCAGGGGCTGGAGCTGACCCTGGGGCGCCTGCGGCGGGGCAGGGGGCCGCGCATGCGCAGTCGGGGCGCTGGGCCCGCGCCGCTGCCCGAGACTGCCGCTTGGCTCCTGCGGGCTCGGGCTCTCCCCCGAGCTGCACCGGCCTTACCTTCCCTCCTCCCGCCGCCTTTGAGGGCGGGGTTCCTGGGGCTCGGCCCCGCGGGGGCCACCCGGGCAGCGCCCCCTTCCCGCCGGCCGACCCCCGGCCGCCCGAGCACAGACCCGGTACTTCAAGGGCTGCTTGATTAATGGCTGTTCAGGAAGGAAAGTGCCACAGGGCCTGGCGGGCGGTCTGCAGCTGGGGGCGCCGCGAGGGGGAGGGCGGGGATGTTGTTGTAACCCGGGCGTCTGCGGGCTGCTCAGCGCCTGGCCCGCAGGAAGGCCCCGGTGTCGGGGTGAGCGCAGGACGCGCCCCCGACCCCGCCGAGCTCCGCCCACCTCGCGGCCCCCCCGACCCCCCCGCGCGGCTCCGGGCGGGCCCCCTCCGGCCTGCAGCCCCCGAGCGCTCGGCGTGAGCGCCGACCCTCCGAGGGGAGGGCCACGGGGGCGGGCGCGGGGCGCAGGGCGGTCTCCGGGTTCCGGATGTCGTGGGCCGCGCGCCGCCGCCGGGACACCACGCGGCCCCTCCGCGCCGGCAGAGGTCCGGCCACGCGGTCCACTCTGACCCCCGCCGCCCCGCGCGGCCTGTCTCTCTCGTGGGCAGGGCCACCGCCTCCGTCAGGCCTCTGGGATCCCCCCCACCCCCCCGGGCCGCACCGGTGCCTCTGAAAGGTCCTGAGGTAAGGGCGAGGATTGCTGGGCGTCCTTTTCTAAGTAAAAAGGAAATATCACTCTGTTTCAAAGAAAAAAAAAAAAAAAGAATACCGTCCCGGCACAGATGCAGTAACATGCCCCGTGGGTCAGAAGCAGGCCCCCCCGCGCCCCTGAGCACCCCGCGAGCACCCCGGAGTACCCCGAGAGCATCCCAGAGCACCCCATGGGCACTCCGGAGCACCCCCAAGAGCACCCTGCGAGCTCCCCGGAGCACCCTGGAGCACCCCGGAGCACCCCGCGAGCACAGCCGTAGGAAGCCTGGCCCAGCAGGGTGGCCCAGCGGGGGTGAGGATGCAGGGGAAAATGCCGCAATCACATCTAAGGTGGGGGTGCCTGGCATCTACATCTTAGTCGCAGCAAGAGTTAGTGTTCTGGTATTTTCCACCTTTTGAGATCTGAAAAAATCTAAAGCCTTGGGTCAGTCCGGAGTGTCGAGCAGGGCAGGAGACAGACGCCTGCGGGCGGCTTGCTCCCCTTACATCAGGACTTGGGTTCGTGTGTCCGGCAGGCGCAAGCCCACGAGTCCTCCACACACGAGCACAGTGGACGCCAGCAGGATGGGGATCGACTTGGTGAAGCTGACCAGGGAGCCGAATATCAAGTTCCCGAGCACGGCCGCTGCTTTGCACAGGGCGTTCAAGAAGCCGAAGCCTGTTGCCCTGCAAGGGGAAGACACAAGACGAGGTTGACCAAGTGACTGCCCAGATGCAACCTGAGCCAAAAATGCCCTGGATGTGTATCATTAAGGCGAGTAATGACCTGCTCGTTAGCACATCTGGGGCCGGGACCCTGCTGTGGGCACCGTTCCTTCAGCCCCGTGCATTTCTCATCACTTCGACTGATTCTTACCCTTCCCAGCAGTCCCAGTTCATCATGAACAGAAAGAAAAAGGAAATTTTGGGAAGACAAGTCTCTTCTCTCTTCCAGAGTTAAATTAAAATATTGGACCATGTATTTCTTTAGACTTTGTTTCCCTCCCTCTTTCCTCATAGCTTAGTGTGTGAGGTTTTAAATAACTAAAGCCATGGGATTTTCAGGGAAAATTAGGGATGACTGGCTTGCATTCCTCATCTTTCTGGTGCCACAGAGGTGGATCCCCACGCTCTCTTCACCCATGTTTTGGCCCCAGGCAAACACTGAATGCCAGGCTGAGGGCCCACGAATGAGCTCCTGGCCCTTCTTCCATCCTCCTCAGAGTTCTACATGGAAAATCATGTCCAGGAGAGGAGCAGATCACAGCCCTAGAGAAGATCCTGTTCACTCTGCTGGCATTTGAATGTGGTTTGACTTTGCACTTCTAGGTAGGAAATGATTTTGTATGAGAGCATCCTGACACCACTGACATCATGACACAGTATGACTCTTCTCTGCCTTTATGCCAGTTCGGTTTCCTGTCTGTCACTGGACCCACCTGTGTATTAAAGGCAAATTGAATGCAAGATAATTGTTGGATGCATTTCCCCTCCCTCCAGAGGGAAGTGTATTTTATTTGCTGTAAAATGCAGCATCAAGTACATGTCTCTTTGATCTGTAAATGTGTAAGTGTGGGCCTGCCTTCGGCCAGTCACAAGAACTACTCATCACTATCGGAGCTGTTCCTAGTGACATTTTCTACAAAGCGGAGACATTTATTGTGTTATTATCTAACCAGCCCCTCCTTCCCACATCACAGAGAGAATGACAGCTTCTGTAGGAGCTAAGCCTGTGAATTTGTCCAGGGCCAGTGAGTTCCTGGGTCAAAACAGAGGAGGGAGCAAAACACCAAGTTTCTTTTTGGCCAGGACACCGGGGAAGTCGAGTAAGTAGGCCTGAGCAGTGTGGCGACATCACCAACTGTGTGGACTGTGGAAGGGGTGTAGCAGGATCTCTGACAGAAAAACAGGAACTTCTTGAGAAGATAGCAAGCTAATTTTGTACGCTTCTTCTTTTTGGTTTGTTTTTAAATAAAGAGACTGCTGATAGCAACAACCACTAGAAAGATAAGATTTAATAGGCTGATAACTATTTCCTTTTTTTTTTAAAGATTTTATTTATTTATTCCTGAGAGACACAGAGAAAGGCAGAGACACAGGCAGAGGGAGCAGAAGGCTCCCTGCGGGGAGCCCGAGGCGGGACTCAATCCCGGACTCCAGGATCATGCCCTGAGCCACCCAGGCGCCCCTGATAACTATTTTTAAATGAAATTGCTGGAGGCCACATGTCAGGTACCACAGAGGACTTAAGTACAATGACATCATGTACTGCCTCCCCCACCTCCGTGGAGATGCCATGAGGCTGAACTCCTTTTTTCTTTCATTAACATTTTCTCAAGCAGTTTGAAGCTTTCAAAAAAATTGAGTGAAAAGCAAAGAGGGTTCCCATGTACTCCCTTCACTCCACACCCCTGTTATTCACATCTTAGTATGGTACATACCTTTACAACTGATGAACCAATGTTAGTACGTTGCTATTAACTTACGTCCATAGCTTATGTCACGATTCATTGTGTGTTTTGTATTTCATGGGCTTTGACCAATGGATAATGACATGTATCCATCAGAGGATCATATGGAGTAACAGTTTCAGTGCCCTAAAATCCCCTGGGCTCCTCCTATTTATTCCTCCTCTTTCCCTAGTAACCTCATGCCACCACTTTTTTACTGTCTCTAATTTTCCCTTTTCCAGAAAGTCAGAGAGCTGAAATTCTATAGTAGCCGCCTCTCAGATTGACGCCCTTCACTTTTTTAAAACCGCATTTTAGTTTCTAGAAGCAAGAGTCATAAATGACCAAATACATCTTATGGTAGTAAGATAAACTCTATCGTTCTGGGAAAACTGGCTAGTGAGTATGTTGCTGATAAGAGAAAAACACTCTTCCATAGGAAGAAGTCTGTCCACCCTGAACCTGCAGAATGACCCCAGGAGAGTTTACAGCTGGGTTGAAATAACTGTATTTTCCCAAGCTGTAACTCTGAACAAGGTATAGAATACAGGTGACTCTCTCCTCATGGTACGGACAGCTCCCGAAGGTTCCTGGACAGCACTGAAGAGACAGGCACTGGGAGCATCTGGTGTCGGAAGCTTCTAAAAAACCACAAATGATCAAATCTTTCCTATTGTATGACTCTCCATTTTCATTGACAGAGCAGGGGCAGTTCTTCACATGAAAGTCTGGTATGGATATAAAGCATACAGCCTCCTTAAATTAGCACTGGCATTCGAGAAAATGTAACTGTTCTTTCCTTAGATAAGTAAATTGTTTCTTCTAATACTTGCGAGACAGAGGGTATGATTTCCCATGCACTGGACACACAGCTGGGCTACAAAAATCATTCTCAAGGTATCTCGCCCTTGCTGGTTATCTGTTTATAAAGGAAATAAGCTTTCAGTTCGTTTATTTCCTTGCTCTTCCTTCAAGGAAAGCCATGGACTTCTACAGACACACAACGTACGTGTCACCTCATGCTCATAAGTCTTTGGAGGGTGGGGAGCCCAGAGAGTTTGACCAGCTGACTCCTCAACGCAGGACAAGCTACATAATTTTTTTTAAAGATTTATTTATTTATTTGTGATAGAGAGAGAGAGAGAGAGAGAGAGAGAGAGAGAGGCAGAGACACAGGAGGAGGGAGAAGCAGGCTCCATGCCGGGAGCCCGACGCGGGACTCGATCCTGGGACTCGATCCCGGGACTCCAGGATCGTGCCCTGAGCCACCCAGGGATCCCCACTACAGAATTTTTTTTTCAGGGATCCCTGGGTGGCGCAGCGGTTTGGCGCCTGCCTTTGGCCCAGGGCACGATTCTGGAGACCCGGGATCGAATCCCACGTCAGGCTCCCAGTGCATGGAGCCTGCTTCTCCCTCTGCCTGTGTCTCTGCCTCTCTCTCTCTCTCTGTGACTATCATAAATAAATAAAAATATTTTTTAAAAAAAGAATTTTTTTTCAGACCAAAGATGTTCCTTCTCCTAACCAGCAAGGACCACGGAGAAAGAATGAAACGATCTATTATCTTCCTATAAACTCCATCCCTTGTGCCCCTACCTCTCCAGCCAGAATCCCTTGTTTGCAATTCTTGCTACTTAAATCTTTTAAATGGAGATTCTTTCCCCAAACAGCACCCTGGGATCACAGCAGGTCCTCACGGTGGCTGGCTGTGGCCCTGCACCATTAATCCGGGTATCCCGGTCTGAGCCTGCTGCTGCTCTTGCGAGAGGAGAGCCGGCTTACTGTGGTGCTCAGGCTCAGTCGCCTGGAGGGAGGGGGGGTGGCCGCCAGAGCACCCCTCACTGCAGCTGGACTGCGGCTTCCCCAGGGCCTTCCCAATGGATTGGGTTCCAGCTCATGGATGTCATTACTAGCTTTGATTAGAGGCTGGGAAAAGGACACTGCCGGCACCATTCCAGATAGAGAGAGCAAAGTGTCACCCTCACTGTCAGCCTCTACCTTATTTAGTGGGGGTCAGCCTTCAGTGCAGGGTCAGCCATGGGTTTTAGGGGGCTCCTGGGAAGAAGCAAGGGATGCAGAATAATAGTAGCACTTGGGCAGCGCCCGGCACATGGTAGGCGCATTGCCACTGTTGGCCGTTGCTTTGAACGCTGACTCAAGAATCCGTCCCACTGACTGCTGAAATCAGGGAAACGAACTAAATGCTCATTTTGAAAAGGCCTGACATGGGGTAGATTCAGATTCAGTTCATGGAATTTACCTGTTAAGGGGTAAAATGTAAGCATTCTCTTTGCTTAATGTAAACTTCTGGAAAAAGCTTTTTCTGAACAACTTATCTAGCAGTCAAATCACTGCTAGAAGTTAGAAAAGGACTCAACGAAGTGCATTTTGCAAAGCACAGACAGTCCTTAAATTAGTGATAGCATAGCTCCCTCTCATCTACAGGGGAGATGTTCCAAGACCCCCAGTGGATGCCTGAAACTAGAGATAATACCAAACTCTGTTCCGTTTTTTCCTATACATACTTATTTGTGATAAAGCTTAATTTATGAATTAGGCACAGATTAACAATAACTAGAACAATAAAGTAGAACAATCACAACAATACACCATAATAAAAGTTAGGTGATTGTGGTCTCTCTCTCAAAATATCTTACTATACTGTGCTCACTTGCCTTTTTTTTCATTTAAAATTTTTTTTAAAGATTTTTTATTTATTTATTCATAGAGACAGAGAGAGAGAGAGAGAGAGAGAGAGAGAGAGGCACAGGCACAGGCAGAGGGAGAAGCAGGCTCCATGCAGGGAGCCCGACGTGGGACTCGATCCCAGGTCTCCAGGATCACACCCCAGGCTGCAGGTGGCACTAAACCGCTGTGCCACGGGGGCTGCCCACCTTTTTTTTTTTTTTTAATTTTATTTATATATTTATTTTTTCATTTGCCTTTTTAAATTTTATTTTTTTAAGATTTTAAGTCATCTCTACACCCATTGTGGAGCCTGAACTCTCTACACCCATTGTGGGGCCTGAACTCATGACCCTGAGATTAAGAGTTCCATGCTCCACCGACTGAGCCAGCCAGGCACCCCTGTACTCACTCATTCTTCCCATGATGACGTGAGATGAGGAGATGCCTATACGAGGAGATGACATGAGGTGAGTGACGCAGGTGCTGTGACATGCTGTCAGGCTACTACTGACCTTCTGGCGCTGTGTCAGGAGGCTCAGCTGCCTCCAG